TCCTTGCAGCGCCTACTCATTCCTCTTGGTGAGTTTCTCCGGCTTTTCTTGGCTTAGAACACAAGCATTTCCTTCTACTGATAAGAGGGCCTCACCCACTTGGCGTGGCTCAGGGTTGAGTGTCGACCTAGGAACCAGGAGGTCACGGTTTGATTCCCGGTCAGTCAGGGCTCAATCGCCCCCCCACCCCCACTCCCGCTCCCGGGCCTGGCTAGTTCTGCTCCAGCCCAGGCCTGACCACGCGGATGGGCCTTGGCTCACCTGCTCCCTCCTCCGGCCCCTGCCCACCTGGCCCAGGCCAGTGCTGTCCACGCCCAGCCCCCGTGTTTGTCATTGACCTGAGCCTGTACCATCCACGGCTGCAGCCCAGGGCCCTCTCTCCGCCGCCGCCGTGGTCCCTCTAAGTGGGCTGATTCAATCGGCCTGAACGCGGCTCCCCAGAGCCTAACGACCTTGCTGGTGGCTCAGGGCGAGAGGCGCCGGTGAGACCAGGCCAGGGCCCAGCGCCCTCCCAGGGGACGGGGGGCCACTCGGGCGGAGAGAGGAGGCACGGAAGATCCCTGCTCCGGGCTGGACTGTGTCCCCAAATTCACGATGAAGCCCTACCCTCAGCAGCTCGGGAGGGTCTGTACTTGGAGGGACAGTCTCTACCGAGGGGCTTAAGGCCACACGAGGCCATTGGGCCCGGCCAGCAGGGCTCAGGGGTTGAGCGTCCACCTATGAGCCAGGAGGTCACGGTTCAATTCCCAGTCGGGGCACAGGCCCGGGTTGCAGGCTCGATCCCCAGTGCGGGGCGTGCAGGAGGCAGCTGGTCCATGATCTTCTCTCATCATTGATGTTTCTCTCTCTCCCCCTTCCTCTCTGAAATCAATTAAAATAAAACAATAATAATAGTGTGGAGGGAGGAGGTGACAGGCCCAGGGGCGAGGGGTCGGGGGGCGCTGGCAGGGCCGGACGTCTCTCCTGTGGGATCAGAGAACCGGCTGCTGACCAGCTCCCTGTGGGCCCAGGGACGGGGGTGGGGGCGCAGTGGGTGGCGTCCATAGGACGACCGTCTCCCTCAGGGCAGGTCCTGCAGAGCCGAGGTCCCTGCATGTCCGTAGGGTGATGCTAAGGTGGGGTGCTCGCGGGGCAGGCGCCGATGGCCTCGGGGAGCCCTAACAGCAGGAGCTGGACACGGTGTCCTCGCCGAGGGCATCAGCCACCCACGGCTGCAGAGCAAATTACCCCAAATGTGTCCGCTCCTAACAGCCAGCACTTATCCCCTCAGGTTCCTGTGGCTCCTGCGGGTCAGGAATCTGGGTCAGGTGTGAGCTGGGGCTGCAGCATCTTGAGGCCCCTGGAGGCCCTGCCCGGCTCAGCCCTGGGTGTCTCAGGCCTCGTCCCTGTGGCCGCTCACTGCTTCCTCGGGCCGAGCAGGACGGCGGCCACCGTCCTCCCTGAGCCTGATCTCGGAAACATCGCCTCGGCCGGACCGTGTGTCAGACGCATGTCCCTCTGTTTGGTCGACGCTGCAGGCGGGAGTGCCAGGGCGGGGGTCAGTGTCGCATGGGACAGAGCTTCAGTTGAAGAAAATGAGGAAGTTCTCACCGGCCGGCGTGGCTCAGGGGTTGAGCATCGACCTATGAACCGGGAGGCCAGGGTTGGATTCCTGGTCAGGGCACAGGCCCGGGTTGTGGGCTCCATCTCCAGTGTGGGGCGTGCAGGAGGCAGCCGATCCATGATTCTCTCTCATCATTGATGTTTCTGGCTCCCTCTCCCTTCCTCTCTCTCTAAAATCAATTAAAAAAAAATTTAAGCCCTGACCAGTATGGCTCAGTGAATAGAGCGTCGGCCTGCGGACTGAAGGGTCCCAGGTTCGATCCCGGTCAAGGGCATGTACCTTGGTTGCCGGCACATCCCCAGTGGGATATGTGCAGGAGGCAGCTGATCGATGTTTCTCTCTCATCGATGTTTCTAACTCTCTATGCCTCTCCCTTCCTCTCTGTAAAAAATCAATAAAATATATATTTTAAAAAACAAACATTAAAAACAAAATACCTATTTTTTTATCCTCACCCGAGGATATTTTTCCACTGACTTTTTAGAGTTGAAGGGAGAGAGACAGGTGCATCGATGTGAGAGAAACACATGGATGGGTTGCCTCCTGCACGTGCACCGACCAGCGCCCAGGCCAGGGAGGAGCCGGCAACCCAACTGAGGTCCACGCCCTTGACCGGACTCGAACCCGGGACCCTTCGCTCGGCAGGCCGACGCTCTATCCACTGAGCCCAAGGGGCCAGACTAGAGCAGAATCCTCACTATTTAAAAAACAGAAAGGAAGTGAGAAGTGCTGGAGATGACGCTGGTGACGGCTGCACAACAGTGTGAATGGGCTTCATGCTGCTGAGCTGAGCGCGGGCACGCGGGCTCCCAGCCACGGTCCAGCTGCCTGACA